ATTATAGTAGTAATAATCATAATTATAGTAATATGTAATTATAGTTACAAATATTGGGTTATCCGGAAAGTTCGTGCTGCAAAAGATTTAGATTTAATAAATGAAATTAAAAATTTAAATCTTCTGCGTTTCAATTTTCCTTCAAAATCGGCACAAACTTTCCGGACAACCTAATACAAAACATTTTTCTCTCAGTGTATGATCATATATCGGAACTGTTCAAACAACATCCAAAGAAAAGAACATAAGATGTCTTGAATACATCTTTATGCATTGTATAAAGTCTGAAAGTCTTCAGAATGCATTTTGTCTTATGTTCATATAGACATTTTTTAGACATAGAGTAACTCCGGTATATGTAGATATATACTTCACTTAACAAAATTTAATTTATCAAATATTTAACGTTATGTTTTAAGATAAATGAACTGTACAGTAAAAACTTTGTACTATGGAAAAAAATATTAGAAATATCTGAAATATTTATTTTTCATATTAAAAAAAAATTTTTGAAACCTTGCATTTTTGCCGTATATACCCCATAGAGATGGGATATACAGTTAGATGACTCACGAAAAATTTACAAATAATTCTTAGAAATAAGACGTAATAATAAAAATAAAATGACACAATAACTTATAAAATATGTTTATAAAATTTTAAGGAATAGGAATGATAAATGCAATTTATACATATAAATGAGTTAATATAACCTAGATAATAATTACAATCTTTTTGTGTTGTGATATGAGGTATATACATGTTCCATGCAATGTATTTATTGTATTGAATGCATATACACACTGAATCCAGTCTGCGCAGTGCGCACTTTGTGCACAGTCTGCACTTTGTGCGCTTTAGGCATAAATCCCGCTTAACATGCCCGCTTAAAACGTATCTATATCTCAAACAGGTATACTGAGAGAAAAGTATATCGTATTTGTGATTATAATTACATGGTAAAATATTATTAATTATGGTTAGGAGCATCATTTTTGCAATTATTATTGCTATAATGTTATCTAGTAACAATAACCTTATATATATAATTCTATCAATCCATACAAAAATTGTACTATAAATCGTAATAATTTCAAATATTAATATGAAAATATATATGAGATAAATGAAATAACCATTTTTATGATAATAGCAATCATAATTATAATGAATATAATTATTTTTTCATCATTCGCTTACTATTTACACGTGGTAACAATATAACTAAAAAATATATTTTAAAAAATGGAAAAATCTGCAGTCATTTTCAAATAGTATAATTATATTAATAGCACATTTGATTGTACTTCTAACTACAAATTTAATTGGTCAAATTTACTATACATATTATAAAAATTAAAAAGAAAATAATTGTAAAAGTAAATTATTTGCATTAAATGTTTGGCAATACTATACACGGAAAGAACAGATTTGATTGAATTAACTAAAATTGTGCTGGAAAATGAACGATCCAGAATTCTAGTTAAGTTTACTAGATTTCTGGTTAAATTTAGATTGATAGAAGGATTAGATTCTAGTTATTTTAAACAGAATTCTGGTAGATTGGTTATTTCAACTAGAATTTTGGTAGATTTTGAAATTGGTTATTTCAATCAGAATTCTGATAGATTTAATCAGAAATCTGGATAAAATTCTGGATCATTCATTTTCCACCACAATTCCAGTTAATTCAACCAAATATTTTTTCTCGTGTAGCAATAGTATATTTGACCATATTTACATAATTTAACATTTAAAAAAAAACTACAGGAATAAGAATTATATCACAGTCAAAGTCGATCACGCATGCTCAAAAATAACACGCAACACAGCGTCAGATCGCAGCGAGACGAAACACGCCCACCATGGTCGGACGATCTCTCGAGACTGAGGATAATCGCTTTGTCATTATCATTTCCTAACTATGTTAATAAATACTAGCGTATTATTTCGTTATTTCGATGTAATCTGCTCAAATATTCATAATATTAAACTGGCAGCAGAGGCATGAAATTAAGAATGGTTACAGTAGGAAGTATAAGTGATGTTTGGCAATGTCTCTCTCGATCACAAGCGTGCGATTAGCTCAGCGTAAGTATATATTAAGCTACCGTTCTAGAGATCGTAGATTCAACTCTTACCGGCGACACGATGCGTTATTTTAATAATTAATTATAGTTAATAAGATAGAATATAGGTATGCAAAACAATAAATAAATAATAAATTGAAATGGAAAAATAAAAAGTAATAACAAAAAAAGTATTTTTTTCGTAAAGATATAACCGTGTACATTTTTTTATTACATACAAGGAATTGTTTGGTCACAATTACTAAATTATTTCGTAATTTTTTTTTCTTTAAAACAATTAATAATTTGATAATATATTTATCATATGATTTCGTAATAACCATCTAACTTTGCTATCAATTTCCAAATCTTGGTAGTAATAGATATATGATTATGTCTACGTATTTTTAATTATGTATTTTATGTTTGTTGTAACAACATTTTATAGTATAATTTACTACATGCAAATACGATTTATGTGTAACATAACCATACAATATAATTGAATGAATATATATAATATTATGGTCGTTATGATCATAATTCAGTATTCAGATTACTATAATTCATATGGGCAAAACAATTATAAATTTATAGTTGTCCCAAAAAAGGACTATAAATTATAGTTAAATTATGATTATTCTAACCATTTCTTTTTCTTAGTGTAGGATGTACATGACATCAAGCTAAATAAAAAATATAAATATAAATAAGAGAATTAAACACTTGCATTTTGCTATACTCCATTCTTTACTGTTCCTTTACACTTACATATCATCAAATAATCCTTAAACTTTTTGCAATCCCTATAGTAATTATATTTTATATAGATTAATGATATATATAAAATATACACACACACACACACACACACACACACACACACACACACACACACACACATACATGTACATATACATATACGATTGCGCTACTTACTACATTGACAAATCGATTTAACTGAAACAGTAATTTTATCAATATTAACAATAAAAAATTGAAATCATAATACTATAATATAACATAAAGGCATATAACAGAGTGGTTGCGTGCAAATTATTAGCTACTCCTATTTTTTCTGACTTCTGCAGCGCTTAATTGCTGAAGTTATCCCATTATCCTATTGTTCTCAGGACAGTATTTCGTGGCATATACGAATCTCTGTTGCTGTCGATTTGTTGAAGAATAATCGAAATGTTGACGGTATATTTATAATATGTCGAGGAGTTGGTACACAAGATATGTATGAGAAGTCTTATTGTATCTCTAAAAAGAAAAATGCCGCAAATTTACCTTCAATTATCAAATTGTATAGATATATGTTCATTATTACCCCTCGTGCTAATATATTAAGAAAAATATTTACGATATAGAAAAAATATCTCTTATATTAGTGTGTAACTGATTAAAATGTCATTTTTCATTAGAAATTTAGAAGTATTACATACGAATTTAGAAGTATTACATACGATATAGAATTAAGAGCGCATACCATAAATAAAATATCGCGCATCGATTATAAAGAAAAGTGTATCATACACTTCTCAATGTATATACGAATAATATGAATTAAAGAACAGATTTAGAAGTTGATTAATATGTAAGAAATAATTGTTATTTAAAAGGATTAATAAATTTTTATCTCGCGAGAAATCTTTCATCGAGATTTAGTCGCGTTAAGTTTTCCGCTTATGTATAAAGATTAATTTGGCTGATCAAAATTTAATGAAATCAATCAGACAAAATTTAATGAAATCTACATATGATATCCATTTTGGTAAAAACCGTGGTGCCGATAGTTTGACACTTTCTTCGAGGTGTCTTATTTTTTTTTTGTCCTTTCGTCCTGCCGCGCTGCAATTCAACATTTTATAGGCTCCATAAAAAATCACGTATGACGCAAGACGGAAAAAGTAGTATAGCATTTATTGAATCTGAACGGGATCAGCAAATGGACACTATTAGATATATATATCAAATATATGTATCAAATAAAATTGATTTTTTTATCGTGAGAGATGAGAAATCGACTAAGGATTTGAATCAATGATGTTTTTGAAGCATAACATAATACCTATTTAAGCGTAAAATAATATTTGAGTTCTTTTCGAATGTTTCATATTAAATTATCATTCTATCATTACCTACATATAAATATAATGAAAACTAAATGGAAAACATTTTTTTGATAAATGTTCGTTGGTATGTTCGTTAAATGAATGTGTTCGATGAATGTGTAGAGAAGGTTGTCAAATGACTATTGTTCAGGCAAAAAGAATCATCGTTATTTTTATTCATATAAAAAAAAAACAATAAAATATTATAGATACATAAATATTGAATTTAATTTTCCATTGACAATGTGAAATTTTCGCCCTTCGTTCGCAACCTAGAGTTTCAAGATTCAGATTTTCATATTGTTTTGGACTGTATAAAAATCTAAAAAATTATTACATATCTGTGAAAACTTTAACAAAGAGTTTTTATTATCATAGAAATTAGATTATATTCTTTTTTATATACTTATTTTTCAGATTTAAATTTATTTATCAAAATTTTAAAAATTACAATTAAAATATCGATTGTGTCTTTAAAGTCTAACATTGCCAGTGCAAGCTTAAATTTCATGCAAGTATAAATTTCAGTAATAAATATTTTTCGCGATAGAAATTTCAAATCAATTATCAAATTAATTATCAATAATACTACATAATATTCAACAAATATGTATATGGAAAATGAGATAGAAAATCTTCTCTTAACTTCTTTTGATGTAGATTTAAATATGATTTACCCTATGCATCAATTGCATACTGCGGTTTTGCATTTTGTTACAAAATTATTTTTCTTAATCCCAAATTGTTTCGAAAAGTTTTTGATATTTATCCATTCAGGAACAGTAAATAAACAATAAGAAATTTTCCTTTTTAATTTTTTAATTTTAATTAATAAATTTGAAAACTAAATTTGATCTCTTTCATATTATGCGACTAGACAGTTTTATTGAACTAGTTTATTGCTGTAAATTAATTCATTTGTTAAAAAATTAATCGAATATTTCTTTATAACGTTTTTGTGCTTTTCGCCAAACTGCCTGTTTCTTCTCCATATTGGAATCTAATTCGACATTAGGAACGTCCATTCTCTTCGATCCAAGACCAACTTTGTTGTGATTGCAGGTGATAAATAACTATAACAGAAATAGCAATTTTTGTTATTATAACATATCTGATTTTCCAAATATTAAATAAAATTGTATAGCTTGAATAGGTTTCGTGAATTCTTAAAGTTGTAATTGCCAATATAAAAATAATATTTTAAATCCATCATCAGTTTTATGGAAAATCTGTGATAAACTAAATATATGTGTTATGAATTTGTTATATAATGCATGTATAATTTTGTGGCTGTATTTGAATCAATTTTTTAAGTAAGACAATGATCATAGAGCACATAAAATATAATTCCACTATACTCGATTGATCTTATGGTTGCCTAGGAACGAAAAAGTTCATATCTGGTTTTTTCTCATTGATGATAGCACATAATGATGTATCTGTTTAGATAATATACAACATGCATGCACGTATTACAGATCACTCTTCACTTCACTTTCTTTTTCTTTTTTTTTTGTTTCGCTTTGTTCCAAAATTTATTGCCAGCCCTGGGAATATATAGTTTACGTTACGTATATACGTGTATACGTATACTATAAATTTTCAGCTGGTATAGTGATTTCTAGGACACAACTTCAAACGAAAGAAGAAAATTTTGTAGAGATTTGCGTTTAGCAGTAAGCAATCGTTAATTAATAAATATGTATCCATTTATTTTAATTTTCTAATTTTTTGAACACTAATTAGCTACCAACAAACATAGACACAGATATAATCGACACTTTGTTTTCGATTATCAATTTTCGAGTAAAGATGTTTCTTAAATATTTATATCACGTTTGAATTAAAGCTATTTCGAAACTGATAAACAAGACAATTATTAGTTTTATGATTTCAACGATAATGATCGATATTTGAAATGAGAGAGAGAGAGAGAGAGAGAGAGAGACTTCGTAGATTCATTAGAAGAAGGAAGTTAAAATACATATAAATATAAAATTAGAATTTTTAATTTAACAAAAAATTGCGAATTTCTCAATTGGATGGTATAGATGCTATGTCGCTATTACATGAATGGATACAATTTTATTTAGCGCGATGGGAAAATTATTAAAAGGATAGAAAATAAGCAATGATCTACATCAACCGATTAAATATAGTCAAGCACATCTGTCACGTTCCTACACTTTTCACTCTTCTTTCTTTCTTTTCTCTTTTTTAATTGATCGTTCAAATCCAGACATGTTCAATATGCAAAAACATGAAATTTAAATTTTGATGGCATGGTCAAACAATCGATACATCAGGACGATGTATTGAATTTGTGAGAAAATGTATGTGAATGTTAAAGCAAATACAAAATATTGTAAACATTTGTTAATGGCTTTCGTATACGACAAAAGATTTTAAAGAAAGAATATAGTACAACTATGCGATTAATGTAATACTACTATAGTTGACATTTAGTGGAGAAACTTTTGATTACGCTTAATAGAAAGGAAGGAAATTCCTGGGTCGAGAACCCCGACACCACTGTAGTTGATTGTGCGAACAAAACAGTACCGAAGTACAATAACATATTAGGAATTCGCGGGTTCTCTGAGACACAGTGGTAGGGTGCCAGACGGTCTGTGCCAGTTCGAAAGTTTGTCCCGGTTTATTCGTCTGGCATACCGGGAAGCGACGTGGATGCACGTGCGCTGCACCTTGACAGCTTGAATATGGGTTCCAGCATCCGTACTGGACAGCGCATATTGGATTCGAAACTTTGCTCGTTTACAACGCTGTCGACACTGTCGACCATCGACCATCAGTCGATCGCCAATTGCTGACTCGTTGTTACTACCACCACTACCATCATCATCATCATCATCATCATCATCATCATCATCATCATCATCATCATCATCATCGTCATCATCATCGTCATCATCATCGTCATCATCGTCATCGTCATCATCATCGTCATCATCATCGTCATCATCATCGTCATCATCATCGTCATCATCATCGTCATCATCATCATCATCATCATCATCATCATCATCATCATCATCATCATCATCATCATCATCATCATCATCATCATCATCATCATCATCATCATCATCATCATCATCATCATCATCATCATCATCATCATCATCATCATCATCATCATCATCATCACCTCCACCATCATCATCACCACCATCAGCACCACCATCATCAGCATCGTCACTACCATCATCATTATTACCACCACTACCGCTATCACCTTTTCCTTCTCTTTCTCTTTCTCTTCCCCTTCTTCCCTTTTCTCTTTTTTTTTGCTCCTCTGCTAATGTTATCACCATCGAATACACGTTGATTGCATAATACATTCTCTCTTTTTTCTAATCCTTTCCCCTCTTTGTTATCTTATTTATGACACTCGAGATGTTTTTATACAAGATGTATGTCCAAGTATGACAGTAAATTCCATTGAGAAAATTTCAAGTCATTAAGAGAAAATATCTTGCGAGTTTTAGACGTAAAGATTACAAAGCAATTGAAATGTGTCAAATCACGTTTAATCTAAATAAATTAACTATTATATTATCAAGCATTATACATCGCGTTGTTGAAAATTCTGTAAGTGAGACATGCGAAAGAATAAAAGAATGGATGTACCAAATATATACATTTTTTATACATCTGATGTATCTTACCGTCTTTCAATTGGAAACAGATTCACGAATTCGCAAAATATTGGATTGTCCGGAAAGTTCGTGCCGCAAAAGATTTAAATTTAATAAATGTATACTAAAATTTAAATCTTCTGCGTTTCAATTTTCCTTCAAAATCGGCACGAACTTTCTGGACAACCCAATAGTAATTCGGAAGTGAGAATTAAAAGTGAGAAAAAATACATGGAGAAAAAATACATTTTACACATAAATATAAATATAAATCAAGTGCATTATAAAGATTATAAAGTTTACGGATATCGATCGCCCGCGCGTGCCTGTGCCTGTAGTGGTCTGTAGGTACCACACGCTCCAACTGCTCGCGCGAGCGAAACTCCTGCGATAATCCTGTGATGGATGCTCTAGGTGGTCAGTAAGCCCTATCGGCCAGACTGTTCGATGTGTATCGGTATGTTTACCCAGACGGAAGCTGTCTGGGTAGTGATAGGGCAACCAATGTCTCTGACGCATCTACGATACGTACATGGTTCGACTTGACTATTAATAAAATGCATGCATGTAAAACAGTAATCAATTATAAATTAGTTACTCGGTAATAAAAGATCGTTTTGTCGATGGAATGATGTAGCGCAATTACTTTATACTTTTGTGTTCCTGCGTTCAAAATATCATAAAAAATGCGAAATATAGTAATTAATCGAGAAGAAAAGATAACGTACATACATATTTATAAATTTAAGACAAACGTGTCTTATAAAAAATAAATACACGCAAAAGTGCATGTACGTAAATTGAATCGTACATACTCTCTCCATTACATCACATCACATCACGTCGCATCGCGTCGCATCGCGTCGTGTCTGATCCGATAACGTTCATTATATACTATACGGTTTATGTTGACCGAAACGTATGCATTGAACATTGTCGGTGCGCTGTAATTAATAAATCTCTTATTGCGTGTACATATTTGTATGTCGATACTGGGCGATTATTCGACCAACGTTTGTGTTATATGAGCATATACACACATCTCGTCTGGACCAATCGACTGCTTCTGACTGAATTGTATATTCTCCTAGCTAACTAACGTTACGGAGACAACCGACATACAAACAAGCGTATACGTGTACGGGTGTGTATGGCAATGTCGACTGTTAAGCTGATACGTGCATGCGCGCGTCTGCTGCGTGTACGGGATCTCGTATCACTCGTATATGCATAGAATTGTGCACTCGCATCCACTTCCTCCTGGCTGAGTTCTGATTAATTTCGTTTCCTCCCTTTCCTCTCTCTCTCTCTCTCTCTCTCTCTCTCTCTCTCTCTCTCCCCCTTTCTCTCTAGCTCTCTCTCCCTTTTAGAAATATTAAAATTTGTACACTAAATCATATTTAAGTAAGTTTCATATTTTACAGTTAAAAAGTCTTATACAAATATCTTTATTTTATTTAATATGTACATCGAAAATCTTGGAAAATTCGCACGCATGCACGCATACGACATACACTTATCATAGAGAAAAATGTCTAAAATAACAGGAAGAATGGAGATAAAGAAAAAGAACACGTTAATCTATATTTATTGTATGCAATTAACCAACAAAAACGTTTAAGCAGCGATATAATGTTGAATTTATGATTGCAATTAATTATGATTGCATCCACCTGTTGCCCCTTCCGCTTCTTTTCTAAACATATTATTGTTACAAAGTTTTGTTCCTATTTGTATTCTTTGAATTTCCTTTCTTTCTTTATCTAATTTTGTTTCTTTGTTTCTTAACCAGAGGCATCTCATTTTTTTTTACGTAAACGATCACCTAGGGTATTTTTTACACTCCAGTTAAAAGTTTTTTATGGAATTGTATATTTAAAGATTCGTAAAGAATAGTTATTAAAAAAAATAATAAAATATATTTTGTAAAATCCATTTTATAACAACTTAAAACAAGACTAAATCGCTATAAAATCATATAAATCATATAAAGTATAGTCATATTATATTGATTTCTCATAATTAAAAATGATTTATTTTTATCACATGTATGGAATATAATAACAGTTTATTGTTATAACAGTTTATTATTCATTTAAAAGAAAATTAAAGTAAGAAAGGACAATAGGAATCAGACGCGGTAATTTTGACGCAAATTAATACACAATTATGATACAATAATATTTATTGATTAATGCGCTTACATGTTTCGGCTCACTTTTGAGCCCTCTTCAGAGAGCCGTATGTAAATATGTAAGTGCATTAATCAATAAATATTATATATATA